TTCCTCCGTTACCCGGCGGCACGGCGGCTGGCTGCTTCCCAAACAAACACACGTGCGGCTTGGCACTTGTGCTGTACGTAACAAGTCACGCGACGTGACGCTGCGGCTGTGATTGGTTCGGCTCTGCGCTACTTCATTTGGATTGGCTGACCGGACAAGAGCGGCGAGGTCTATCGCAATAGTTTAATTTCTCTATCGAATAAAAGTTACATCGCGATACATATCGTTATCGTTCTATCGCCCAGCTCTAACTCACACTGACCAGTTGTACTGTGGATTAAACTGGTGTGAACACAAAATCAGACTAACCAGCCTGAGCTGTCTCTCTGCTAATGCTAGCTAGCTTACCTGCAAAGAAAAACGTCGCCTCAGAGGATTAAATGGGGACAAAATTAAAGAGCAAGCTAACGGTTCCCAGCTAGCTGCTACGGTAGCCATCAAGAAGTCAACTAGTAAGCTAATGCTAGTCAGAAGAAAGGCAGTGTGTCAAGTCAATCTGAGCGTTTGTTCCTCCAAAAGCAGCCGGACAAACTAACAGCTTTAAATATGACAGAGATGAAACCAGGATGACGTTCACAATAACAGCACTGAAGATGATGAAGCAGGAAAGTGCAGAGAAGCAGCTGAGGCGTCCACATCATGGTGGAAGCCGCTCACTGGTGTTCATGGATGATGTGATGATAGGAGCTGCAGAACGAAGCGGACTAAAAGCTCAAATTCAGAAAGATTCAACAAGTAATGAGCCAAAGCATGACACACCTGCTTTAAACTGGATCCGGACCCCTGCATCGTTCTGGATCTTCTTGATCATTTCTCCATTTCTGCCAATCACAATGCCGACAGCAAACCTGGGAACGGGAACCTGAGGACAGACGGAGAGATCAGCACGGCGTCTAAACACAACCATCCCAGGAACGCTTGTTTGCCCAAGTCATACATCCAGGCTGGTTCCTCCCAGTCGGGCGCCGAAGTCACTGCGACCCGATCTGAAGTCTCCGTCCTTCTCCCGGATCACCTCCAACACCAGCTCCCTCGCTGCCTGCAGGAGGAAACGGCCCGGGATTAGCCCCGCCTCAAAGGATGGAACTAAAAAGCATCGAAATATTTACCAACTTTCTGCTTGACCTCAAGTCTCCAATTCGATCAGTAACCTTTTCTCATTGAAAGCCAAAATCTTTTAAGGATCATCTAAACCGAACCAGCCCAGGACCTCGGAGGAACCCATGACAGATCCAACAAATCAGAGCCCTGAATCCGCCCGTAGGTTCCACTGACAAATCCTGTTACAGGATGTCCTCAAACTTTGTGGATTCAGCGGTAAATCTCTCCTCACTAAACACTTTACAGCAAATCTGTAGTGAAAAGAATCAGATCAGGATGTTTTTTAGATGATTGTAACTGGTCAGTTTCCCTGTATTAATAAGCTGGAGATAGTCACATGGTCTCATTTCATTAGGACGCAGCTGCTGTACGTGGCTCCGGGTGTCCTCAGCTCGTCCTTTGACGGCTCCCGCTTCACTGACGCTCAGTAATAAATCAGCAGTCTGCGTCACAGTTATCGTCCTGCAGAACGATTACTCCTGGACAGTACTCGCCGGCGTACCTGCACTTTGTACGGGTCTCCGGAGATGCGCAGGGGTTTGTCGGCCCCCGTTGGCATCGGGCCGTCCTGGATCATCATCATCTTCACTCCAGCTCGCTCCTGAAAACCAGAGCAGTTAACATCACTAACATTTCCTGCTATTTGAAACCCTGTTATTCAATCGGCACCTCAGTCCTGACCCTACAAACGTTCCTGCTTCACGATCGTCACGATTTGTTCTATAAAAGGAAAACACCTGATTTCATGGCGAACGCTCTAAACACGACGCACACACTCCACCAGCCAGCACAGATAACTCTCCTCAGCAGGGTTACGAAAGTGAAAACTTGATCTGATCGTGGCTCAAGAGTTGGAAGTTCGCCTTGTAATCGGAAGGTTGCCGGTTCGAGCCCCGGCTCGGACAGTCTCGGTCGTTGTGTCCTTGGGCAAGACACTTCACCCGTTGCCTACTGGTGGTGGTCAGAGGGCCCGGTGGCGCCAGTGTCCGGCAGCCTCGCCTCTGTCAGTGCGCCCCAGGGTGGCCGTGGCTACAATGTAGCTGCCATCACCAGTGTGTGAATGGGTGGATGACTGGATATGTAAAGCGCTTTGGGGTCCTTAGGACCAAGTAAAAGTGCTATACAAATACAGACCATTTACCATAAAATAACTACAAAGAACTCTATTTGAGTCATTAAATGATTATAATTATGTAAAAGAAACACTAAACTTGTTTATCTAAAGTTCAAAGACTTGGAAACATGTCTGTCTGCAGACCCAACAGTGAGCGGAACCATGTCAGCTTTCATATTCATTTCACCTCTCGCAGTGACATCACTTCCTTGAGCAAGAGCCCCCCCCCCACCCGTTGATCTGAACCTGTGACGTGAATCTACCTGCAGCTGTTTGATGGTGTCTCCTCCTCGGCCAATCACCAGCCCCACCTTGCTGGCTGGGATCAGCATTTCCTGCACCGAGGCCCCGCCCTCTCCATCGCCATGGAAACCCGGACCGTTTCTGCAGCGGTCCACGATCTGGGCCAGCAGCCGCTTCGCCTGCCTGAAAACAGCCAGACGTGACAGAGTTTAGCAGGAGCGTCGCTTCACCTGCAGCTCCGCCAGCTCCAGCTTCACTAACTCACTCGATGCTCTCCGGAGTCCCCGTCAGAGAACACGGCCGCTCCATCAGACCCCCGCCTTCTGCAGAAACACGCATGCGTCAGGTAAGTTGTCAGGCCGTTTAATTCAAAGGGACCACGGAGAAGTTTGGACTCTCCATGGTCCGAGGAAACGTAAGAACACGGAGCGCTGAACTCACCGGGAGCGATCTGGATCTTACAGCCCGACTCCAACTGGATCCTGGTGATCTGTTCTCCTCCCCTGCCAATAACTGAGGTGGAGGAGGACAGACGTAATTAGAGGAACATCCACCTGCTGCTTCTGTACATGCAGTAAGTAAAGGACCGTGACTCCAGGTCAAACACACTGACGTCAGCCTGCTTCCTCTGAGGTACCGGGAAGGAAAATGAGACTTGGCTCAGCTGATGTGCTCGAGGCTTCTGAGGCCAAACGGCGCCTCGGACACACATTCTGGTTCTGACATTAACGTCTGACTTATAGGGTTTGCATCCAGACAAACCAGAACCGTCGCAGTTCTGAGTCAAAGGAAAGGTTCAGTAAAAACGCCGAGACAGCAGGTTACCATCAGACTGGAAGCCCATTGGCTGAGGAGAGGATTTAGTCTCTGTGAGAAAGGTTTCGATGCAAATACCATCCCCCTGTTTACCTGCACACAGCCACAGGCTGCTCAGATGTGATTGGTCGCTAGAAATGAGACTACAGACAGACACCAGGACGCCTGCAGAGCACAGTACAGGGGAACAGCTCCAGCTTCACACGCATATTCTATGTAAAGGTTCGAGAGCCCAGCGAAAAGTCAGAGGTCATACTCACTGAAGCCCACCATCCTGTCAGGGACCTTGTAATCCTCTGTGATTACCCTGCAACACACACAGAAACACACACATCGGCATCCTGGTCACGCATGGCTGTGTGTGTGTGTGTCAATAAGTGATTATTCTGATGCAGACTGCAGGAGGACAGATCTATAACACAGGTGCACCTCCACGACCTCACACGTGTCGATTTGCAAACAAGAATATGAAGCTGCACACGCATCATTACACACCACAGAGAGTGTGTATGAGTGTGATCAATACGAGCTGCGGGTCGTACCTTTGATGCCCCATGGCTGCTAGCTGGTTACCTACTGGGAGACAGAGACAGAGATTAGACGTCAGACGGCGCCGATCATCAGAGCGAACAGCGAGAATCGAACTGGCATGACGTGTGCGGCAAACACGGGAACACGTCGGAGCACAGACACGCCATTCTCCCGCCGTCGTTTATTAAACAAAATAAAAAGACGTCACGGCTGTCCTGTCACTGAGCAGTCTGACGGGTGCAGTGCGGGTGTATGAGCCTCTTACCTCCATCCTCTCCTGGTCGTTTCTGGCCCGGGTAGTACAGCGAGGGCTCGACACTTACTGAGGAGCTGTTGAGGTGAGACATCCCTTCTCCGCCCAGCTTGCCCACCATCTGTGAACATGGCAGAAACAGCTGTAACACCTGCATCTGTTCACAGCAGCTCGGCACGCGGGAGCGGCCGGAAACTAACAGCGATACTAAAATTAGAACGGTAAAGTTTTTACAGCACACAGGTCCAAAACCACAGCAGGATAAAGACTAGGTCCCAAACTGGTCCCAGGTCAGCAGAAAGTCCAACAGCACCTCTGCTTTAGAGCAGGTCGGCCGCCCGAGCGCAGGCCGACGTGTCTTCATATGCAGCCTGTTTCCAGAGGCCGACACAGCTCAGCCTCACTCCCTAAACCAGGAGGCTTCATAATAAGGCGCCCGGTTTGGCTGCAGACACACTCGACTGACTGGGCGCAGATATTTCTAACAGAGCTGCAGCTCATTAAAGTTTAACCACAGTTGGTGTGAAGAACAAAGATTTGGTGGAGCCGTTTTAAAGGTGTGAGCCTCAAACGTCACAGCTCTACCTGGGAGACTGTACCTTCCTCATCACGTCCATCATCTTCTTCAGGGTGTTTGTAGAGTCCAGCATAGATGTTCTTCTACCACAAACACCCAGAAAATGTTCATCAAATTATAAAGAAGGCCACAAAGAACCAGGAAATGACATCAAGACTTCAGCTGCCATTTAGGGGGAGGAGCTAAAACTGTTTGTTTCAGAGGACGAACTGACGGTACGCAGACTGCAAATACTATTAAATACACACACACACACACACACACACACACACACACACACACACACACACACACACACAGAGGAAACCTTGTGTTTTCCTGATACAGACTAAAGAAAAATCTGCTGCTCAGTAAAAATAGTCCAGTGGGCGGAGTCAGTCTGCTGCACCTGCTCACACCTGTTCACAGTGCTCCACAGCCTCACAGTATTACCTGTAAAAGGTGAGCCGCAGACAGCTAGTAAAGAAAATAATCCGTTGAAACTCTCTCAGCTGAAACGTGCAAACTTTAAACAAAGGTTTCTGACCCGGCACCTGACGGAGGCGTCGTCCTCTTCCTCCTCAGCTCAAGCCTCGTCTGCTGAACTGTGGTCAGGGCTCTAACACTAAACGTGCTCATTTACTCCTGATAATGCTGCACTAACTTATTGTCAGGAGATTAGACATGTGACCCTCCCATCTCTGGTCAACTGACACCTAACAAGCTAAACATCAACAACTGCTAACATTACGCTAATTTAAAAAAAAAAAAAGAATCATGCTTTCCCAGTGATTTCACATCGTGTGAGGTTTTATTCACCAGCCATCAAACTCCAACTATTTTATAGTCACTTCGAAGGCAGTTTCGGTAACGGCAGCTAACTGAGGCTAACAGCAGTTAAGTGATTAGCCTCACTTAACTGCTGCAAACAGTCACTAACTGAGGTTAACAGCAGCAAACAGTCACTAACTGCGGCTAACAGCAGCTAACTGAGGCTAACAGCAGCAAACAGTCACTAACTGAGGCTAACAGCAGCTAACTGAGGCTAACAGCAGCTAACTGAGGCTAACAGCAGCTAGATTTGTTTGTCTTTCAGTAAGTAAGTAAGTAAAATTTTATTTATATAGCACATTTCTAGATAAGAGATCACAAAGTGCTTTAC